AACCGCGGAAATTTCTGTTAATTTAGACGCAATGCTGCTCTGGAGGCAAAATTGCTCATTTAGCAGAAGTTATGATTCTGACGCCGGCACTATCGATAAGTCTATTCAACCTCAAATAGAAATTAATTCCACGGTTAAGTTGTTGCTTGTGAGATCAGCGTTCATTGTCGGAAAGATTCCTCAAAAAGGTCATTGTCACTTCTTCGTTCTATTATCTCGATTATCTCTTTCAGGGAAAACAAATCTCGAAAGGGTCAATCGACGATGGTTTCGAGAGCGCTTGTTAGCCGAAAGCAAATCCCGCACGACACCGCATTTCCTAGACGCATACTTAGCCTGGATCATTCTTACTACAAATAATTATCGGTCTGGCTGGTGGTGCTCCTTCTGGGAAATGGAGGAATTGTCGAGTACCGCTCGCAAGGGTCTGCGACTGTGAGTAATGGGTAAAGGCATGTGTCTGTTGGCAGGAAAGACATGAACGGAAACCGTCCGTTTTCCCTCTCGGGAAAGGTCTCAGAAAGGCCCAGGTGAGTACGACAGCCGTCGAGGGGTATCGCCAATTGTCATCGATACTTGGACACTGCATGGAGCCACAGACGGTGCATAGAAAGCTGTCGCTCTTCCCTCCAGCGATGGAGTTTTAAGATTGGTAAGCTCCAAGCTTAGGTGGCCTTACATTTTCCGTTGTCCCGAAAAGGTCTCAGTATTAATTCCAACAGATCAAGAATGACAGGGATATGTATGGTCTTGCGTGAAACCACCGATGGAGACACACTTTTAATTCGAGTTGCTAGTTGCTGGTCTTATTGGTGCGAGAACTCCCATATAGGTTTCGATGATAAATAGTAAAGGGCGGAATGTCTGAGTCTTCCGTCGTATTTTCTTGGCTCAAGAGTTGCCGTATTTGCTTTCTGGAAGATTGCCGAACAAGGTGCAAAGTGTGTTTGAAGGTGTGCGTTGATGTGGAGAGATGGGTTCTGCGTAATAATTCACCATGTTCAACCTTGGTCACATGTGGATTAGATGTTCCTGCTATAGTCAGGTTGGATCGCTCAGGCCTGAGCATACTGGGCACTGAGCAGCCAAATCAATCAGATTTGCGATTCCCAATTTATGATGTTGTGCTTGAATGGACGAATCCGCACTCCGCAGAAGCCGAACAAGTCAGAGTCTCAGTCTCTCAGAGAACTAGAGACGTCGATCCAATCACGGTGGATCAAGGAGGCTAGGAGTCCAAGAGGACTAATTACCCGAAATGGTAAAAGCAAGTTTGGCAACTGCATCGCTCCAAACTCCGATAAGAATAGCGCCAAGGTGGATAGCCGCCGGATTGGTATTCCTGGCATCTAGGTTCGGCCAGTCGAAGAACCAACAAGTGGAGTTGCAGGCGGATTGTCCGAAGATGGCATGACGAGGAAGTGGGTTGTATGTGACGATCACCCAATGATATGCGAGTCGATAGTGTCAACTAGTAGCAGCATCATGCGTATCATGATCAAATAATGTGCAGTAAAATGTAAGTATGTTTGGAGTAGTATTCGTCCTCTCATGAGGGGAACCTGTAGGTCCTCGAGGAATCGATTTAAGGGGAAAGACGGAGGTAGCCGATTGGCGGAACTGGATATACTGTTGCGATGATCGATATATTCGATAATTGTTAATAGTCAATCCGATCTGCATTCCGGGTTTTGTGAGCGTCGATTGCATTATTGTCTGTTGTGTCTTATCAATGTTGCTAGCAAGGGTTCGGTTTAGGACGCATATCTGTGATGTCGTCAATCGTAGGTGTCAAGGGGGGAAATAGACCTCCTACAGTAGGTTCCTGAGATTCCTAATCAACTCCTTCCATTCAGAAGTTGTCCACCTCCTTCCTAGTACGGTCAATGTGGTTCGACTCGCCGGTCTCTCCCTGCAACGATGAATGCCAATCTCTGCCTGGACTCAGGATATCAAGTGCATGATGCATGTATCTGTCCATCCAGCGTCCGGTAAATCCGACCGCAGCCAGTGCAGCGACATGTACGGTGTAGGATAGCATTTACTCATTCAGTCACCCGGAGCGTCGCAGAGGAGTATCACTTTTGGTAAGTGTTGAGCGGTGATCGATGTCAGACCCACTGAGCCTGAAAATCCGTTTGTTAGCCTGTTGACTGGGTCTGACTCGTGCGTTCGGGTAAGGAGTCAAAATAGATTAAATACCAGACCCCAGCACTGGTGCCCTCAAAGGCGTTGGTGGGTTGATTCGAGGGGATCCATGACGCTCTTTGGTCACAAGCCAATTGTGGAGGACATTCACCGAGAAATGATATCGAGCTCTTGAGCCTCAATCATTGGAAAAGAGGGAGTGGCTCACACGAACGGAGCTGGCTTGCGCGATGCCTCCGACAACAGGTACTAGGAACTCTCTGCGACGGGTTCATGGATGTATTCAATGCAGGAGCCGACGGGTCAAGGTATGTGTGATGTGTGATGTGTGATGGTGTTGTTGTTCTAAGACCAATGGTGTTTCTATTCTTGTCGATGATGCCTCTTGGCCCTCCGGACTGCATCGTGTACATGACCATGACAGGGATGTCTGAGATCCTCGGTGCCTTGGGGAATGTCTGTGTCCGGACGGAGCTTTTCCCCCCTTTATTTATAGATCTATTTCACATCGATTTTCTCATGACCTTGTTCTTTGCTCATTGTCCAACTAATTCGAATAGTGTGGCCAAGAGCATCCCCGATGTTCTCATTGCATGAAGCGGGATATAATATGCCACTATATGCCAGCCTGGAAATATTCACGCTCCACTTCGGCAAAGGATCGATCGCCAATGGACTCATTACCACCTATCTCTGTTTTGACTCGTGTCGCTCAGTCTCAGAGCCAAATGAGTCCCACTGGCCCTAACGGTGCCAAAGACAACCTCAACGTCCACGATCTGGAGTTGATGATGCAGTGGTGTACCAAGACGTATCGTTCAATCTCTCATAATGGCAATGTCGAGAGTATTTGGCAGACTGTCATTCCACGTGAAGCTATGCAGCATCCGGCCCTGATGCATGGCATCCTCGCCCTGTCCGCATTGCATCTGGCTTCCTCAACAGGAGGAAGCATGCACGAACGATATATGAAAACGGCAAAGACCCATAAAGACCTGGCTCTGTTAGGCTTCAAAGAGTCGTTCAAGAATCCCGACCAATCGAATTGCGATGCCGCCTTTGCTTTATGCAGTCTCATGACCATATCTTCACTGGCGTTTCCACTGATTGCCGGACAGAGCCAGACAAACACCGCTCTGGATGATCTTTGCCAGGCTTTTCAAGTTGCAAGAGACTCAATGAACGTTCTGGCCCAGATCGCTGACCAAGTTGAGAACGGTGAGTTGAAGCCGTTGCTTGGAAAGGACGAATCGGGCCCCAAGATGCCCGACACTTCACGGCTTGCTATCATGTCCTTATCAATGACGAACTCACGGCTGGCTAACCGGAACCCGAAGCACGAAAGAGAGATGTTTGAGGCAACCATCAGACAGTTGGGGGAGTCTCTAGAAAAACTGGCGCAAGGCAGGGAGGCTTCAATCGTGGCGTTCCAATGGATGTACCACATTCCATCGAGATTCATAGACCTAGTACATGAGCGACATCCTTTTGCCCTGGTCATCCTGGCTCATTATGCTGTGGTTCTTCATTTTATGAGAAGCCGCTGGTGGATGGGTGAATGGGGTGCCCGGGTCATCCAACAAATAGGTCAACTTCTGGACTCTCAATGGCGACAATCCATTAGTTGGGTACTGGATGCTACCGGCTGTTATATTCCACCAACTTGAACGCCCGACTGCAGCAAGGATTCTGTTATCCACGTCACGAATCGCCATCACTTCTGCCCTCGTTGGTGTCGCAAGAGTCAAGACACTGCAACATTCAAGACGTACTCCGCAGTCAGAAGCCCATGCTTACTGGCAAGTTCCGGGCGACAATACTCTGGTAGCGATGAGAGATCAGGGTCAAGCTCACGTTCGCACGGCTCAAAGTCGATACTCTGTTGGTGGACTATTGAAGTGTCATTGGGTCATTTCAACAGCATTCTTTCATAAGGAATTGCTTCGACATATTTTGCACCTAATGTCTAGTGCTTAGGTAGCACGCCCCGTGATACCAGGGCCCTGAGAACAAGGGGACACCAATTTCCGGCCATTTATTGTGTATATAGATACCAGTCGACACTGGCTTAATTGCATCCTCAACATATCAACGATAATGAGCGGCTACCAGTGATCTAGCAAAGTGAATAATTTACATTTGAAGCTGTTGAGTAACATTGAAATCGCTTGAGACTTTTGTAGAAGAAATTCACTTGGACTTGATTGGTAAATAGTCACTCGGGTGAAGCAGAAAAAGCAACGCAGTACGTTGATAAGTCTCCGGGGTTCTATTGGAGCTTCAACTAGCGTCTCCAGGATGGCAGTTTTTAAGGATACGGTAGACGACTACAAGTGTGATAATATTTAGTCTCAGGCGAGCCACTCCGAATGTCTAGAAAGACAGGAAATGACAGTCCGAAACTCCACCATCACACCAAAGACAAAGCAGCTCGAGTGATTCTTTTGAGTGCCGGGATCAACAAATCCAGGAAAGAGCAGCGCTTATTCATTCAACTTTTGATTTTCAGACAAGGGTATTATCCAATTACAAGACCATATTGAAGTAAAAAAAAAAAAAAAAAAAATGAGAAAGAACAGAAGTGAAGAAACCGACTGACTGACCGAGCAGGAAGGGAAAAGATGACATCCGAGCAGAAGTCGATTTTCAAAACAATCCTGCCCGAACGCAGTTTTCAGTCGCTTGGGTGAGATACCAAGCACCGCCAGCGGTACTTTTCATTTTCCCCAAGGATAAGATAGGTTCGTTGGGCGCTCTGGGAGGCCATGCTGTTGACGGCGTCATACCAGAACCAGACTTCGCACAATGAATCCAAAACCGTGAAAAACCTCAGAACACCCTTATAGAAGATATCACCGCGAAGATGACGAACCCGAGCGCTTCTCACTAGCTTGTTTAACATCCTTCAAACGATCCCTCGATGCGGTCCGAACCCGTTGCAGATTCTCCTCTTCCTGCTCGCGGACCTTCTTCTCCTGCTCGGGGGTCGGGAAGTACGCATTCGCAGCACCACCTAGAACAATAGTCGGTCAACTCAACCAAACGCTGCCAACGCGCTGACGAGAAAGGCAGAACCTACCCCGTCCCGTATGGTGCGGAGCCTCCTCCACCCGCTGCGGCGGCGATTCTACATCCTGCAGTTCGCGCGCGATTTCCGGGCGCTCGGGGTCATACTGGACCATGTTGCCTGAGCCGCCCCGACCGGTTGTGAAGGTATCTTGTTTGATTGTCGGGGTGACGAGATCCTTTGCTGTGGTGGGGTTTGCGGTGGAGTAGATGTTTCCTGGTGAGGGGGTCGATGTTAGCTCAACTGGGAAGAGAAGAAGTGCGCTGCACGGCAGACAACCGGGTCTCTTACCTGCGCCTCCACGGCCGTGAGAAACGTTTCGACCGGCCATTGTGATTGATGTTATGAATTTGCGATCGCGAGCTCCGCGGGATTGAGCGCAGCAGCGGAGCGTCTGGGGAGACGAGGGGTAGCGAGAAGACTTTTTCGTCGTCGATGTTGATGACTGCTTCGGAGGAAAAATGGGCTCTTTAAAAGGAGCAAAGCCGAAGATTGAAAGGGTGATATAAAAAATCGTGGCAAAGGTAAAAATTTCGCGCAGAGGTCTGGTGATTTCTTTTTTTTGTTGGCATGACCGCAGCCAAGAAGGATCCTTTCATCCTTGCACTTTGCGCTTTGCACTTTTCCCCCCTCAGCGAGCGGAATTAAGGAATCTTCTGGCTTGGCGCCCGTGGTATCTGTTTGCGTCATCTTTGCTCCTCCTTGCTCTTCTTCCATTCTCTTCCTTTTTTTACTTTGCTATGTTTACGCTCTCGCAATACGACTACAAACTGCTTCGTACAGCTCCTCGACACTTTACTCCAGAGAGCCTATCTACACGACGGGAGAAAGGACCTCGGGACTCTTTTGTGGCTGGCACCGGCTCCTTCTTCGACCCACCGCTGAAATCTCTTTCCTGCGCGTGGATTCTCTTCCCCGCGATTTCTGGGCTCGTACGTAGCCTCGTGGTCCCTAAGAACCCACTTCGCGCATCGACCTGTGCGAATCGCATCCGCTCGTTTAGCACGCGCATCCAGCAAGTAGGAACGTATACAGTCCTGATTCTACAGCCTGGACCACGAATGCACGCCAGCTCAACAGCAGCTTCATTTGCCCTAATTCATTGACGAGGTCTATGCCATGTTCTGGGCTGAACCTTTGAGGTCACAGGGAGAATATCATACACTTCCAGAACGCCTTCATTTTAACTTCAAACAGATGCCTCCACAGCTGCCATCTTCATCTTGTAGTGTTGAGTCTCATAATGCGTTCATAATCTGCCAGTCGTACCTCCTGTGCGTACTAGAATCAGCATACACAGAAAATATTGAGTGAGGAGTGGATTTTAGCTCGTACCTCTGGCGAAAGATTCTTGAATCCTTCAAGTACGTAAATACTCTCATAACAGTCTTCGACACTCTTTACAACGTCTTGTGGGCTCGAGGACAACCTAAAAGCCGCACAAATATCATCAGAATACTCTTTCGTCAAGCTCGAAGGGCGGATGGCTTTTGCAACCCTTTTGACACTGCAGCGGTTGGATACGCACATCAAGAGCGCCATATGTTCATGGGAATCAAGCAGCCGGCTGAGGGGCACTCCTACTCAGTCTTATTTCTCTTTTCCGGCACGCTCGTAGAACTCTGCTGGCCTTGTTGGCGCTTCAAGGTGCCCTTTGATTGATGCAAGCTGGAAGAAGACGAGGACGTATTTTCGCCTGATGGCGTCGGCTGCGATAGCAACTCTCCAGTGCCAGGGGATTTAGTTGTTGGTTGTACGGAAGAAGACTTGGGTGTTGGTGTAGATGAGGGCCTCGCAGCTGCATTTGTCGGATCATTAGCCCTTGTTCTTGGTAGTTTTCAGTAGGTGCACTCACCCTGAGAAATGCTGCTGCTAGAACTGCCCCCTATGGAGGCATCGTGAAAGCCACTCTTCGCAGATCTCCACCCCTCAAATCCATTTCCAGAGAAGCTGCCAAGTGTAGGGGCGGCAGGAGTATTGGTCAGAGTACCAGATGGACGAGTCGGAGGAAAGGTGACAGAGGTGCTGGAATTGGAAAACCCTGCGGCAGTGCTACTTGACGAGAACGCAGTACTTTCGAACGCGACACTGCTTGGCGGTCCAGTGATGAATGGAGCTCCTTTATCCTTGTTTTCGGTAGTCAAGGAGTGATCTCGTTTCCTGTTGGAGTACTGGGAGAATACCGAATCCTTGATAAAAGTCGACCTTTTATGCACTAGGAGATGAAATATGTCAGCTATCATTGAAATGCAGTGATACTCAGGATTATCTCAGACCTTCGGGGCGAGGTTGGGTAGAATCATAGGACTTCAGTGTGCTCAGGCCAGTCTGAAGCTTCCCTAGCTGATAACTGAGGCGTTCGCGCTGCTCACGGACAGTGGCAGTCTCTGAAGCAAGGTCCTGAATGTGCTCGTCGTCCATGTTGATCACAGTGACGCTTGTGAAGATACTTTCTAGCGGCCCAAGAAGGCAGTTTTCTATCGCAAGATTCGCAATATTGTTCATGAAGACCACAATTGCAAGCTGTATGAAGGCATCATTAGCACCAGGCAAGCGGTGATCTAAAAGCCATTGGCGTCACTATCAGCATTCAACCTACGTCGTAGTATGCCTGCATCTCGTCAACGATCTCAGCAGCAGAAAACTGACTGGCCGAAGTCTCGGGGCTCGATGTCGCTCTTCGCAGGTCTCCAAGTGAAATGGTCACTGTGGGTGGATTTTGGTTAGGGTTGAGTGGAAGGCCGAGCCTTCTCGTAAGATCCTGAAACTGACGCTTTGATTGAGACTTTTGTATTTGGGTGAGGTAGGTCCGGCCAATCAGTGAATGATGGCCTCGCTTCATGAACGCGGTCAATTCCTCAAGTTTTCCCAATAACATTTCCTTCATCTTGTTTAAGGCCGGGTCGAGGATGGAACGAGAGAGAGCGGAGAAAGCCTGGTCGTCTGTCAGATATTCAAAGAGCAAATGCACAAAGTGTTCGACGACTTCCCCGACCGTCATTACATGTCGTCTCGCGATCTCTTCCCAAGGCTTCGAATGAATACGGAAAAGACTTTCGGCAAGACGTTGGTTGATATGGCCAGGCATTTCCACCCCGCGGCTTCTGCGAGCTTGCTCAGCCACTTCTGCCTCGAAAGCCTTTCGAGTGATATAGACTGGCTCCCAGTCATGAAGGTAAGGTTTGGCATCTCCCTTGAGGCTCTCTTTAGTGCGACGTTCAGTATCCGAATCGATGATTATGCGGTGGGCGCCTCGAAGCTCCATGGCTTCGGCGAAGTCATCATTCAGGTCTCGGATAACGGATCGCAATTTGCGAAAATCATGGGCACCGCTGCAGGCTTCTGAAGTAAAGAAACCATCACTGTACGTGCCATCCAATGCCTGAGCCATGATTCGCTCACATTTGCTACTGATGCCGAGCAGGTAAGCTCTCTGCTCCTGGATAGTTGCGCGCGGGGTTCCGAGCTTCTCCAGTTTTGCCTTGTTTTCCGAGATCATTTTTTCAACATTCCTGGCCATGTCTGGGATATACCGCTTCATGCGGTCGAAGATTGCCCGGCTCAGACGAGTCTGAAGAGTGCCCAGCCCAACGCAAGACATGGGCAGTGCAGCCCAGGAACCAATCCTTAAGATCACCATCTCCTTTTTGCTGCAGAGATCCTCCGAATTATATCGGTCATGGGAAGGTCCGTTCCGCAAAGCATGCCAACCGAGCTTCAACTGAGCTTTCTCGTTCTTAACCAGCTCAATAAAGGTGTTCTCCTCCTCCGAGTTCCGCTGAAGTGTGTCTGTGTGTGTAACAATCCCAATAGTTCTTTCGTGGGTGGGATCAAAACGTTCAACCAACTTTAAACCCTTTTCTTGTTGTTGGTAATCAATCTTCGCACTGATTACCGCCAGGATAAGACTGGCCTTGTTCTTCATGTACTTCTCGGCAAGGTCGTGAACGAAAGAATCCTCTTCTGAGCTTTCGTCGTTGCCAGAAGAGGTGCGAAGTCCTGGAAGCTCTATCAAAATCATGTCAGGATACTTTGAACCGGCAAGCTCAATTTTAAGCACGTAGTCTCTCGGCGTTGCATTGGCCCTCTCCTCCAAGAAGTCCCTATGAATCTTCTCAATCATTGAAAACTCATTGCTGACGGCCAAGCCTTCTGGCTCGACACCTCTGGTGAAAAGAGTTTCCTGTCCACTTTTTGATGAGAGTCCAGACTCATATGTGATCTTCGCCTCAGGTGAGAGACACCGGTGCAGCACAATCTCCGTCACGAAACGCGTGTTGTCCGTTGGAAGACGGACGCGAGAAATTCTCTCCAAGACAGAGCTCTTCCCAGAAGACTGCATCCCGAAAATAACGAGCTGAGGCAGTTCGTAATCGCCTTCTACTCCTAATCTTTGCAGTTTTTTGAACGTTTTAGATAGCTCGGACTGCTTCACCTGCAGCTCGCGAAGCGTCTCGTCCAAGGAAGTGGTCTCGCCCATTGTGGGAAGATGAGAGAAATATCTGCCCGTAGGTTGGAGGTGAGTTGGTAAAAATAAAGAAGTAGTATGCAGGGAATGAAGGTGAGAGTGACGAGTAAGTCATGCAAGTTTTGAAAAGAAGGTTGGGACAAGAGAGTTGTAGCAGTAGATGTGTTGTGAAAATTGCTTTGATCTCATCGCCCAGGGAACACCAGAAGCAAAATGAATCTCAGCTCACTCACTAGAGAACTTCCAGGAGACAAAAAACATGCTAATATCCTTCAAAGATCTGAATCTGGTAAAATGAGCAGGTAGTATGCAGGGAGTAAAGCATAATGTGAGAAGTGTCAGGTAGGTCAATGAGAAGAAGGTTAAAACTCAAGAGTTGTAGGAGATGACTTGTGTTTGTAATGTGAGGACTGCTTCTCATCACTCAAGAAATATGAGCACTAGCTCATTCACCAGGGAACTAAGGCAATGAAAGAACATGCTGATGTCCCCTGCAACAAACCGAATCGTTGAAACCAAAATGAGTTCTCTCTATACCCATCCAAAGGACCTAGATATGATCTAGAAAAGTCTTGATCATCATTGACAGATTATTTCACTCAAACTCTGAGAGAAAAGCACCTCAGATCAAGCTCTTAGTTTGCCATGAAGAAGATACATCTTGACATTCCCCTCACTATTGCCATTTTTATGAATACTTGTCACGGCTTATTTGCGAGACTTGTTTTAAGCTTTTTGTCAAGATGAACCACATATTGAGCCTGTTAGACTGCTGGGATGTGCTCATGATGAGAGGGAGGACAAAATGCTCAAGATGACATTTAATACTCTGGTCAATGAGACGATGAGAGCCCTTTGACAAGCGACTGACTTGTTCATCATGAACGGTGAAGTTGCCATTGCTTGAGCTTTATATACCCACAGTGTGATCTGACTCGACTCCGAGCTCTTGGGGGCAGATTTCTCAATTCCTGGAATCCAGCTCTTACTTTCAATGCTCTTGCATAAATGTGATATCCTCTCAAATCCTCGTGACAGACTCTGTTCCTTCACGATGGACTTCAAATGAGTGAGTGTAAAGTTGCTGTCTGTATGGCTCCTGGCATCCCTTGAGACAACCCAATTTGATCTACCGTCAAGAACAGATGAACTGGTCCCACAGCTGATCACTCTGCTTCACTAGGAAGGATCATCCGAAACCGTAAAGCGTCGACATCCAACCCCTCCATCAGCTCCGGATATTTATCAATAAACTCCGACGTCAAGCCCCATCCGCTTTCACGCGTAAACACTTCGAAAAACTCCTCCCGAATCTGCAGGTTATCATCCGCATCACGCTCCAGCATATCCTTACCCCACGGCCAGCGCACTTTGGTGCAACAGCTCATATAACCCGTGAGTTCGGCGAAGTCGTACTTGGTCCAGTTCCTGATGATATTGACCCTCAGCTGCGGCCAAATTACCATATCCAATGACGTCGGGTGACCCTGCTGGATCTGCGTCATGACTGGTTGTTGGAAAGGTGCCAGGCGCGCAAACGTTGCGGGGTTGGGAGAGACGCGCCATTTACTGTAGACATAACTCAGCCAGCCCAGTGCGACACACTCCGCATCGCGAATGGCTCGCCGTCGAATTGCACGGTGGATCTCGTTGGCCAAGTAGTTGCGCCGAGTCCCGTGGAGAAGATCCAATGGATCTGGCACAGGCGGGCAAGCAGAGACGAGCTCCGGACGAGAGAGCCATGGTGCTGTGGCTGGCACCAAGGACGGATCATGTCCGTACTCGTTCATTGGGACCAGACACCAAGCGGGGACAGTGCTAGGCAGAGCCTGGATGGCGGAAGAATAAGGCAATCCAGGCAATTGAATGGTTGACGGTATGTTTGGTACAGCAGCTGTAACACCTTGTACGCTGTTGAGTTGACCAAGCCCGGGATCAGCTCCAGCATACTCCAGAGTCAGTCCAGTCGTTCGGGTGAAGATCTCATTCTGAGCATTAGGTTCTGGTATCTCGAAGTTGACAATTGAATCTGGAGTCACTGCTATTCCCCTTTTCGCCTTACCACACTGACCTGGAGCGCTTGGATTGATATCAGGCCCTACATTTTCCAACCGTCGCGGTGGCTGTGATGTCGCCGATGAGGATACTCCAATCTCATCTGCATCCCAGGACGCAAATATCTTCCGCAATCGTTCCTGTCGAGCTCGCAACAACTCATTTTCTCGACGAAGGCTATCGACAGCCGTAAGCAGCTGCTGCATTAATGAAGCTGCATGATGCGTCTCACAAAACTGCACCCGTTGTTCGAGGAATTTGATACGGTCCTCTCGTTTCTTTCGAAGATTTTCTTGAGCTCTCCTGTCTCGAAGACGTTTCTTTTCCGAGGAACTTAATGATGCGTTATGGCGGTTGGATACCATTCTGATCATTTAAGGAGTCTAAGAACATCTTTGAGCATATGGAAAATAATAGGTGGGAAGATCAGGCCACCTTAAGGAGTGTATGTGCCTAAATTTATGGACCCACTGCCCCAATCATGATAAATTTATGCAGGTATAAAGAATTGTACATGGCATTCATTTGACTACCTTTCGGATCAAGCATTATTATTTGATAGTGATGTAGAAATAAAACTATGCTTCTTAGATATACGCAATTGGTCTAAATTAAAATTAAGATCTATATGTCTATCTTGAAGCACATGAATATCCGTCTTTCTGTCGCTCGTTCTTGAACAACGCACGAAGGATAGTCAGCTGCCCACCTGCACCCTATCTACCATAAGCCACCAAAAATTCATTTACTCCCCTGAAGCTTTCTTCCCATCAAGATTAACCGGGAACTTCTCCCGAATAGCCTTGCCATATCTAGTGAAGAAGATGGGAATCGGCACAAAAGCTAGAGCAATGAACCCCAGCAATGAATTTCCCCAGCCCAACCCTAGGCTGTCAAACATACTAGGCCCAGCAAGGGGCAGCAACGCACCCACCAATGATCGTGTGGCAGTCAAGATGGCATTCGCGGAAGCCGCATACGCGGGATAGCAATCGATGATATACGTCTGGATTGGCATAAACAAGCCCATCATCGAGATGCCAAATGGGCACATGCCGATGATGGGCACGATCCAATGCACATGCTTAGCTGCCGACCATCCGTACCAGAAGAAGCTCACGGGAGAGAAGCAGGAGAAGAAGATCATGGTGGGTAACCGCATTTCAGGCTCGAACTTGCCTCCGTTCTGTGCGGTCATTTTCATCACGATTTTGTCGTTTGTGAGAGCGATGAGCGCGAGGCCGACAAAGAAACCAATACCGATGCCCAGGTAGGCGAGGCCAGAGAGGCCAGTAGTGAACCCGTATTGCATTTGGAAAACTGACGGGATCGTGGTGAAAAAGAGATATAACAGGGCGTAGATGAGAGCCATGTAGATCGAAAGTAGAAGGACGATGGGCGACTTGAAGAATAGCTGCACAGGTCGCATAAGTCCCAACTTCAGGGTCGAGGCCACAGATACGCCTTGGCTGTGAGGTTCGTATGCACTGCGCAAATCTGTGCGGCCCAGCTCGTTGGCCAGTTTGGCTGTCTTCCACCGTATAAGCACGGGGGCATACGTCTCGCGGTTCAGACACTCGATTCCGAATGAGAGGACACCGCTTGCAATCAATAGTATCCAGAAGATCCAGCGCCAGCCGATTTCTTCGCCGATGAAACCACCACAGATAGGCCCGACGACAGGGCCGATCAGCGGACCCATGCTCCAGATCGATGTTGCCATCCCGCGTTGCTCGACAGGGAACAGATCAGCAATGACACCTGCTCCGAGGGTAATACAGCCGGCACCGCCTACTCCGGCAAAGAGTCGAAACACAATGAGAGACTCAATGTTGGGAGCGAGGGCACATCCGATCTGCCAGACGACGAAGAACCAGTTGGCGCAACTGAGCACTATTCTTCGGCCATAGATCTCGCTCATGGGTGCTATAAGCAGTGGACCGAACTATAACTTTCTCATTAGGTTCCTATTCTGTTTGTTCCCCAGCGACAGAGTAAGCCGGACGGATTTACTCACCGTGTAGCCGATCAAAAAGATTGTAATACTGAAGGAAAGTAACGTCTCATTCGTGACTCCGAGGTCAACAGCCACATAGCTTGCAGCGGGAGAAAACATGCTAGACGCAAGTGGTGAAATAAGGGTGATAGAGCTCATGAGTGCCAGTAGACCCCATTTTTGGCCCGAGGAGAAGTTCTGGGGATTTGCAGGATCATCTTGTCCATCCCATCCGACAATCCCACGAGAGAGATTCGTTTCTGGGAAACGTTTAGTCTCGTTGTTCCGCGAGTCGGTTGCTTCTTGAGCAGATGTATGGCCTTCCTGGAGCGTTGAAGGTGTGGACTTCTCTGTATGGTCGGTTGGGGAGGGGCTCAACGGCCGGTGCTTTTCGAGATCTTCCATGCCGATGAAGCAAGGGGCCGAGATCGTAAGGAAAAATAAGGAAGGAGGAGTACACAAAGGAAGCTGCAATTAGAAAGTTGACGCTGATCAAAAGCCAAGAACGAAAATAGTGGTTATCCAAGATGAGAAAAGCCCTTGGCTAAGACGGGATTGAAAAAGAAAATAGAAGACGAGAAGTAGAAGAAAAGGCCTAAGAATGGCAGAAGGAAAACAAGACTCCTACCATGAGAGTTTAAAGCGATCTGCAATCACCTTATAAGAGGAACTACTACATGATATTGATCTGAGTATGCAGCATAAGCGCATAACTACGATTCGAAACTCTTCTTATGCGTAGGACTGGACCCATTATGATCGAATACGATGGCTGGATCAGCAATATGGTACCGTAGGTAGGTACCTACTTAGGTACCGTATTATCGTTAATTAAGATCTATTGCGATTCCATAGATTGTCCTCCTAGTCTAATCGCGCTTCACATCGCCAGGGACCTGTTCCTGTAAGTCAAGTAGCAAGATCAAGCTCTGATCAACGACCTTGAAGCTCTCGGGTTGTTTTTGAGCGAATTCAAGAGATACCTACATAGGTATTGTATTAAGGTAAAATGCGGGCTGTTGCCCAGTGTCCATGCCCCATGACCCATCGGACAGGATAGTACATATCTCCTCTGTAGTCCAACTTTAAAGTAAGGAGGAAACACTGATTCAGTTCCCCACATCCAGATCTAAAATAACCAATGAACGCATGCACAGCCAGACAGTTGTGGACTCGCTGATTCATTGCTCCATGGCTAACTATCATCTCAGAACTTTCAGAAGGCTGAACGCCCGAGGCTCTCTACAGATAACAATGGCTGGTCCTAAGCTGTATTATTATTAATAAAAATCTGCGTAATGACTCTGGTCCAGATGATGGACTAATTCAAGTGAGGATGAGCTCATATGTATTGTCGGGCTTAATAGCTTGTAATTGTTTAACTCCGTGATACCCTTCTATAGCACAACATAAACTAATAATGCATGCATATGTTGTGCACATCCTTATAAGTAGGTACCTAGGTAGCCTCCAAGGTTGCTCACTGAGAGACAGAAGGAGGTAATTACTAATACTTAACACATCTACTTGCTGAGATACCGCAGTAGTCACTGTTATATTTTAGTTTCCTGTGAGATTGCGGCCGAGGATTATCTTGTATTGATACCATCGAGATTCATATAGAAATGTGGCCTCATCATGATGCAAAACAACTTCTTTGAGATGGGAAGGGTTTCCATCAAGAAGGGTTGCTCATCAGGAATGGTGAGGAACAGAAATACCCCGTTATGAAATGTGCATCCATGTCAACATCATGAGAAACACTCGACCAGAGCGTTCATCGAGGTCACTAAATGAAAGTCACAACCATCTCACAGAACTTTTGCCTTGATGCACTGTTGCACAGGTGAAAGTGACACTGTTTGAGGTCCAGCAGTGCGGCTTTCATAGCGGAGACTGGAGATATCCCGTTATAAAATTGGAGTAGCTTCTCAACAGCGATAGGTATATGTTGATCGGCTACGGATGCTCGGGTGAGGGAGAAGATGGTGGCGAGTGTCAAGTGTCAACCTGCCTCAACTACCCTGATATTCGGCTCGAAAAAAATTGGCTCCATCCACGAAGCATCCGGATGCCCAAACGGCGGCTCATGCGCCTTTTCGAAGCCCATACTCCACACACCATGGGCGCCTTTGACCGTATAAGGTCCATTCAACTCATATGACTTGCGATTTTCCTTGTACGAAGCTGCACCAACATGCTGCACTTGCGATGGGGATATGGCCCAACGGTCCAGACCTTCCTGGTCGGCCAAAATCTCTATGGCACTGTCCACGGGCTCCGCTCCTGACCTTTGCATTTTCTCCAGATGACCGATCAGCAAGGGCGCTTTTTCTCGGGGAAATAGAAGTGCTTGCGAGCAACATCCGTGGCTGTTCATGAGATGGACGCCGGGCCGCATGGGCTGCACTGTCACGCGGCCTGCCAGGAAATATAGGCCAATGAGGAGGGGAACATACAACAGACAGACTACCGCAAGGAATGAGTTCGTCAGTATCCCTTGCATAAGCCATGACCGTCGCCGCGCACAGACACCTGTCAGTGCCACGAGTGAGATAACCGCAAGGCTTGAGATAAGATAAGTGGGCCACTCCTCCGTATTCCAACCCAGGAATTTCTCTGTATAGAAGAGGCGCAGGTATAGCCAGTCTTTGATCTTCCCGTGAGACCTCCAGTGTTTGACCGTCTCCAGACTTCTCATGGTATGGTGGTACCATTCTCTTTGTGCCACCACGTCGTCCTCCAGCAGCAAAATCCAAGGCGCCTTCGTGTCCTCGTAACATGATTTCAGGGAGAGTTGATAATCGATAAGAGATTTGTCTGCTATCATCTTCTTCCTCTCCCATCGTTCCATTTTGTCCACATCAGCGCCCGAGTTTTTGTAAGTGAGGATGCGGTCGATGACATTCGAGGCCCATGGTTGCTGGTAATCCGGGTGATCGGAAGGATTGCTGAGCGCAAAGAGCACGTGAATCACGATATTTGCGCGCTGCTCCCAAGATAATCCATCGAGTAGCGAGCCCACGGCCGTATCGAGATTCTGCTGTATGGGGCGCTTTACGGTAACGATTCCCACACAAATAGTTGGAGCGCGTTCTCCTGAAGTGACATTTTGAAGCGATTGTTCTGGTCGTGCGCTTGACTGATTGAACCGAGATACGAATTCCAACGACTCTCGAATTCTCCTGAGGCTGTAATGCGGCCGATAGCCTTCCTCTGGTCGGAAAAAGAAGGAGCCAGGGTCGCGCGCCGAGTTGAAATGGCAAAAGATAAGGAGAAGAAAATAGAAAACCGCGAATGAGACTAGGAGGCGCCTCTGATTTTTGCTGAAGAGGAACATTTCGTCACGCACATGATGAAAGCAGGGGATTATTGTCGAGGAAATGGTAAGAACTTGATCTGGAACGGGACATGAGGAATCAGAGAGGTTTCAGCTTGTGACAGGAGCAGGAGAAAATCAATGCAAGAATAACCTGGGACCCTGAGCCCAACAGGGTAAAGGATCACCCAAAATGGAGCAATTCATAGTGCAGGCTGAAAAGCCAAGAGTGACTTTCCCCAGTCTACTCTGTGTATGTCCGATTGATTGGTTGTGTGGGGTGCTCGAGCCACGGGCCCAAATCCCCCAAGATGACATTTCGGGACCAGCAGCCAATCTGGTTCAGGGATGGTCAGGGGTTGTTTCACAGAGACTGAAACTTTGCCAGTTGACTCGGCTGCTTGTTTGGCAAGTGTCCATTGTCCAGTGGCACTATTGTCGCTTGTAGTTATGATTTCCTAATATAAATGATTCAAGAGGATCTTGCTTTTGAGACATTGCGTTAAGTTAAGTATTACTAGGTAGTGTTATCCATCATAACCATACGTCATCTTCACTAGTTTGTACCTCAGAGAAACTGGAGAAACATGCTTAATCAGAATGTTTTCTCAGCAGGTAGCAAGCCTGACCAGACCATTGATCACTTGCAAATTGCAACCGAGGCAAGATTACCTGGATACTGTCTTGTAAGATTGGATGTCATGACTCGTGCATCATTTGATATTTAGGTACCTGGTCCTTAGTAGGCAGCACTTATCGGTGATCCCAGGTGGGCTGCTTACCCACACTCTGACACAGGGGATCAACTCAGGTCGAAAGTTATTGTGAAGCCGAACCAAAGTGATATCAGAAAGTATGTCTGTCTCAGCTTGTTGTTTGAAATGTTTCGAATGGGAGGGTACTCCCTCGGGGAGAACCGCAAAGCTCGCCAAGAACGACATCTACATAGTGGGGGACAACCCGGATGTCGCCATCATCATCATCCACGATCTCCTGGGCTGGAACTTTCCAAATGTGCGCTTGCTAGCAGATCACTATGCCCGCGAGGCCAACGCAACCGTCTACATCCCCGATTTCTTCGGCGGCGAAGTCTTGCCGTTCGAGCCGATTCTCAAGGGCGAGTGGGAGAAGCTCGATGTCCCCGGTTTTCTAGGGAGGAATTCCCGCGAGATACGAGAGCCGGAAATCTTCGACTGTGCTAGAGCTCTACGGGAGAAGTACAAGAAAGTCGGTGTTGCGGGCTTTTGCTACGGAGGATGGGCTGCTTTCCGCCTAGGCGCAAAAGAACACCAGCCTCCGCTCGTTGACTGCATCACGGTTGGGCATCCATCGCTTCTGACAAAGAAGGATGTCGACGAGATTGCAGTTCCTGTGCAGATTCTTGCCCCGGAACACGATCCGGTCTACACTGCCGAGCTCAAGAGATATACGTTCGACACAGTTTCTGGGCTCGGTGTGCCGCTCGATTACCAGCATTATCCCGGGGCGGAGCATGGCTGTTTGACTCGCGGTGACAGCAACAAGGCCGGGGAGCGCGAGGCGATGGCTCGAGGAAAGAACGCTGCTGTCAGCTGGTTTACACAATGGCTGCACCAGTCGTGATGCCTATGCTTGGATATCAGCCCCTAGCATTCTCAGTATGATGGCTTCTGCTGGATTCATCGGTCTTTTCCCACCATACTAAATGGTATCAGTGAGACTTGCAGAATAATCCTCTCATTGTGTAAGCAAGCGTAAGTCATGTCTACGGATAATAATGAAAAGAGGCATAAGCCATCAAGAGACGCCGATCTGGGTCTGGGATCGCCTAGCCGAGACCCGTTTCTCCGCATTCCTTGCGGGGCAACCTAGTGGACAGCACCGCAGCCGGACTACCGAGGCAGCTCGTCCATCCCATACTTGGGGATAACATCATCAGAATCTCATGTCGAGATTATATCATCCAAGCCAGCTCACAATTACCGATATGGGCTGCAGGGATTTCGGTGCGTATAAAATCGACAGTGCAGTAACTTGAGAAGTCTTCATCGCGCAGCCAAATCACTTACCACCATTGATAATATACACCCTCAAAATGTATCCCAATCTACTCCCAATTGCCATCCCAACTTCGTATGAAACTATCCAAACAACCCACATTAAGGTAACCCACCACCCGGCCGGCTCCCCGACCGCAACCCCAGTCGCGATCGTCACTTTGAACCGCCCCGACAAGCACAATGCCTTTACACAAGTCATGGCCGAGAACCTAGAACGGGTCTTCGGCACGTTCGACCTCGACGAACGCGTAAAGGTAGTCGTGCTGACCGGCGCGGGGAAGACCTTCTGTGCCGGCGCTGACTTGGAGATTGGCTTTGGCGGCGGGCGAAAACGAGAGAGGACGGCGGATCATCGGGATAGGTTGGTGCTGTGCTATTGAAGCGAAAGGTTCAACGATTGACCTGCGCCATTAGTGGTGGCCGAGTCGCTCTGGCAATCCATAGATGTCGGAAGCCTACGATTGCTGCTATGCAGGGTTCTGCTGTTGGAGTGGGCATGACCATGACTCTTCCGGCTGCGATAAGGTAGCGCATTTATTTCGGGTCGTTAAAGCAATGGATACTGAGTGAAAGCAGGATCGCCCACGAATCAAGTAAATACGGGTTCGTCTTTGCCCGAAGAGGAATCACCATGGAGTCTTGCTCGTCTTACTTCCTCCCCCGTCTGATCGGATACTCTCGGGCAATGTTCCTCGTCTCAACAGGGGGTGTCTACCCGTCCAACTCAAAGCACTTTGATGGCTTGTTTGCGGAAACTCTACCCGAGCGAACCCAGGTCCTTCCACGAGCTCTGGAGTTGGCTGCCGAAATCGCCGAGAGCGTCAGCCCAATGGCTTCTGCGCTGAATCGGGCATTGATGTGGCGCGGACCTGAGTCCCCCGAAGAAGCGCATTTGCTCGAGTCAGGGATCTTGTACCATATGTTTGGGGCTAAGTGAGTAAGAGTTGTCGTATTTGACTCTCCATACTGATCGCTGGACAGGGACCAGAAAGAAGGCGTTTCGGCGTTTTTCAAGAAGCGCAAGCCAAACTTCAAGGCAACGTTTGAGAACGATGGGCCTGCCAACTACCCGTGGTGGTCGGAGGCGAGCATCGACCCACTAGCAAAAGCTGCTAAAGGGTCATCCAAGCTGTAGACAGGTGCCGCCTGCCGGCCGTAATTAATCTGTGTCTCGTGAGCAGACCTTATATTGATCAAGATCAAGGTTCTTTTAGGAAGCAAGAATAAATTTGAATAGCTTATATTTTACAGAGCAGAGATGAAATGCTACTGCCGATAGGTAGCCTCTGTAGCAGAAGGAGATCAACGTGGAAGAGAAACTTATGCCGATCGCTCAAAGACTGATGTAGACAACTCCACGCAAAGCTAATGAAGCTTAGATGAGGATTGAAGCACATCAAGAGACTGGAAATCAATGAAATTGCCAGATCGAGAGAAAAGGACAATGCTAGAGTAGATTCGTCAAATTAGAGGATGAAACTGCGTCTCTTGCGGTTGTAGGCCCTCTGATCCTTCAACCATTGCCGGTAACCTTGGACACTACCAATCTTCTCACCGTAGTAATCCGGCACGGGATTGGCAATCGAGTTAGACGAGGGATCGACACGGAACCGCTTGATTCTGTCATAGAACTCCTTCTCTTTCTGTCCATCTGTCAGCACCGAGCAAAACCGGAAAGAGTCCCGTAAAACATATCACATCAAGAGCTCACCCTTAAGACAGCAGGCTTATATCTGCGATAGACCAGCCCCCAGACGGCATTGCCCAAAAAGGGACCCGCGAGCCAACCCACCGCACCGCAGGCAGCGGTCGCCAATCCCAGGACAACGAAGGGATCCAAGCCCATCACCTGCGCCCCGAGGGACTCAAGATCCTGCTCGGAAAGAACCTGAACGCCGATAATGGTACTGGCCATCGAGGCGATTATCGACGAGGCGAGGGTGTATCTGCGCCGAGATGCGCGGAGTTTAAAGAAGGAATTCCAATCGAGTTTGGCGGCTTCGATGCGGGGTGCGTTTGCGGCGGTCGAGTTAAGGCGGAAAGCCGTATTGCGGAGAATTGGAGAGGGAGAGATCACGTTCGGCTGAGGACGGTTGGATGGCTTTAAGAGGATGCGTGTGGTTGATGTGCTGGCTGGCCGTGCCTGTGTCCTGAGCGACATCTTCTGGCAGCATTGAAATAACGGGGTCGCGCTGGGGAGAGGGGAAGGGGAGGCAAGGGCGAACCGGCCACTGAGGGCGACCGTCCGAAATGTGCCGTTCATCGAGGTGAGGTGCATGTTAAGATTTGTAAATGTGTGGAACGAAGTATGTGGTCGCAAGACAGTACTTGATGATTGAAGAGGTTCAGCGAACAGGCGGAAGAAGCTATGCCTGGGTTATGTAAGCAAGAAGTGGAGCACATAACGTAATCAACCACCGAACCGCGAATTTTCGCCGCTCCCAAGATATTTTGAAACCTTTCAACCACTAACATCATTGAAGAAGACTTTTTTAAAGGATAAAATAACAGCTATTTATTAGGACAATTTCTTATAGTAT